TCGATCGGCTTTGACCTTTCCGTTAAAAATAGGCGGAGAGAAGAAGGTTTCCACTGTCGATCAGTCAGTGTCGATCCCTCGTCATTGGGAGTGTTCGGTGCGTTACCACGGTTCCACCAATTTTCCACGATGAACGATCGATTCGTGTCCCGATTGCTTCGATGTCGGGATCTGTTACTCTTGTTGTTGGTAGTGGACAAGTGATCAGAAGTAGAGTGAAGATATGGGGATCGGTGGCATGATTCCGTTTTGAGAAGTTTTGTTTTAAGAATTCGGTGGATGGGTTTGATCTGATGGAAAAAAATAAAGCTCGTGTGGCTTCGATGATGGACGATAACGAGGGATTTGGATACTTTCGACAGTGTTGATTTCGTTGGAAGAGGTGACAAGATGATGATTTTCAAGGTTTCTTTTGATTGTGCGAGCGTGATTAAATCGTAATGAAATTTCCATTGATATATTAATAAGCTTTTCTTCTCGTTTAGGGATATTTTATTCGAAGATTCGTTTTGGAAACAATTCGTGAATTAATTTTCCGTTCCTGCGTCACCTCGATCATATATCACGATAATATCATTCCCCCCGATATGACTATAAAAATGAAATCCATTACTTTAAAGCCTGGAAAAAGACACCAAAACCATAACTCTCTCTCTTTCTCTCCCCTTTGAGCGTCGAACGTTGAAAAACTACGCTGTCTCATGGCGAATCAAATTTTCCACGCGATAAAAGAATCATTAATACCTGTCCAAGCTTCTCTCATCCACCTCTTCTCTCCAATCGCCCCTATATCGATACGAGTTTATCGAGAGGAACGCAGCCTCTATCAAGGTCACGTTTATGCCAGCTCACTTTCTCGATCGTGGAGGAAGAAAAGGGAATGTTGGAATGACGTAGCTTGCACGAAAAAAAAAAAAAAAAGAAAAAAGAAAATTCTTCGTAAGCTCGTAAATGATCGAGTATGGGGTTGCTCTCGATAAAGTGACCATCATAAATCTTCCTCCTTCCTCCTTCTCGAAAGCCAACTAGATTCGTTTCCTTTTCTCTCTCATCCAATCCTTGCTCTATCCCTCTCCTCCTCTTTTACTATTCTTCAATGGCTTTTCTCCTCCCCCTCTTCGTTTCCTTCCCTCTTTCTCGGCGTCTTCCCTCTTCCATTCGCTTTTCATGTTTCCTGGTCGAACGCTTTTCCGGCAAATAACTGCAGAGCAGCCAGATTTATCGATTTACTGTTGCTGGACAACGGGGATTCGTGTCGCTATTTGTTGGAGATGAAAGTTTCCTTTCTCTCGATAAGAAGGATTTGCGTTGAGCACTTGGGGATTTTTACGGAAACTGGCCGTATAGCCAGGGGGGTTCGTTTTTACGATTGGTTTAAAACCCGCCTTACGAAAGATCGTATCGCGCCTTTTCCTTCCTATTCTTTCCCTATTATTATTATGTTAACACATAGCTCTATGAAAGGATATCGCTCGATATCTTTTAACGATAATTGCAACGATTCGTATAATTCTTCCTTAGTACGAATCTTTCATCTTTCTCGATTTCAAGAATGTATTTCTCCTCGTGCGATTCGTATTACAGGGAAATACACTTATACGATTTGAAAGTTGAATGGAAATTACAATTCGTACGAATATGGGTATAGTATAGCGTTGGAGGAGGTGAAATCAACCCCTTAAAGTTTCGTTTGCGGTTAATAAACGTTGTGCATAATTATAGATATTTCTCTATAATTTGAACGAAATTTCGTATTCGATGGTGATCGCGTCGCGAGGGGGTGAGAATTCGTGATTTTGAAGTTTGAGGTGAACTAATAACATGGAGAAAGGGGAGTCCAGCGAGGAAACTTTGCCGACAGTTTACGGAATTATGATCGCCTTCCTTACTTGCGTGGTTGGATACGTTTTGTGGGTAAGTGTTACGACTGTGTGGCAAACATAATTTTTAAGAAAAAAAAGATACACGTTTTTATTTTTTTGATATATAAAAATAGAAACGAGAGATTGTTAATTTTAATTCAATTCTAGAATGTGAATGATGTAAATATTTTTTAAATATATTATTTTTTTTATATTGTTATTTACAGTTTGCGTGCATTTAATTGTTTGAAGAGTACGTTATATGATTATGAAGAATGTTAAAAAATTAATAGGTCGTAATAATGACTATGTAAATAGCGTATCCCAAAGGGTGCAAAATTTTAATACAAATATCTACTAGCTAGATAAAATTTGAATTTCTCTCGTTTCATGTTATAGTCAGCAACATGGGTATCGTGTATCACGTTGTACATTTATAATACATGCAATTATTGTAAAACACTGCACGGTCCCGTGTAAACATGGAACTTAATTTTAGAATAACTTCGAATCGAGTATGCGTTAATTGCAAATGTAACATTTTCATCGTGTCTTTTGAAATTAGAAGAGAAATTCATGCATAAAATTAAACTGTTTTTGAACATGGAAATAAATTTTATAGAAATACTTTACGAAAAATTAAAAATTTACCGATCCTTAAACGAATGACCACATAATTCTCAAAAATTTTTCATCATCGACAATTATAAAATATCACATACACACACATCCACATACACGCATACAAAAATCCTCGAAAGTTCAAATTCACAATATCGAACGAAAGAAATAATTAAAATTCCTTCGACAGGGGTGAAAAACATCCCGGGGATGTACGCGTATCTTTTGACACAAAAGCAAAGCTCGAAATAGCCGAAAACAGAGGCAAAAACAGGCATCGATCGAGTTCCACGAATTATCGAAACAGAAACGAAAATTGGCATCGATACGCGAATCCTTGTGAACCATTAACGAGAAATTATTTCCACGTTTCGAGTCAAAGAGAGGCATTCGAGGGCGATCATTTGCGACCAGCAAGCGGCAACCTCTTGTACAAGAGGGAGGAGGGGGAGTGGGCATAACGCTCGATATCGTCAGCATTGTTTGCGGTAATCGTCGTTCGTATTCGCTTGCATCAACTGTAATCCGTTGGCACGCGAGCATTTCGCGAATACCGGCGACACCGACTCCCGTTAAATTATGGGAGGGGGGCGTAATTAAGATGCGAGCCGATTGTTCATCCGGCCCGGTTTCATCCACAGACGGAACAAAGGTACAACTTACATTCCGATGGTGGCCGATATTCAACGCTTCCCTTTCACTATACGATCTTTTGTTCCAGAATATTCGGTGTTCATGAATTTAGCAGAGTTAGTTCGGCTTCATATTTCCGGCATTGACCGTGAGGCGAACGTTTCGTTATTATCGATAGTTACGAATGGGTTACCTTACCGATTAACGGTAAATTGAATTTTTTTTATGGATATATACGTAACAATATGTACGCGTAATAATCTTACGTCATCTTTGAGACGTGATACCATGAAAAATTCTCGACAAACACGAAACATTCTTCCTTCAATTCGATGTGACTTAGATTCGGCGAATCCTTTGTCAAATTTCCCCCTAAAAACAGCAACAACGGGTATACGGAACGATTAATATACCTATATCTACCCTACCATCGATCGGTAACCACGAGTAAGAATTCTCCCTGGTGGCGAATCGTTCCCGATCTCAGTAGAATAGGATCGACGAAACAAATCGGCCTGTTAACGACCTCGATCCCCGCGAGGACAGGGAAACTGCATTCGATCTCGGCCACGAGAGCGCATTCGACACTCGAGGCGGACCGCGGCCCGCGTTTACGCGTGGTCTGCGCGCTCGTTACGCGCCGTGGTGGCAATCGGCTGCGGTTGGGGATCAGGTGAACGAGTACGATGGAAAGATAAAAAAAAAAAAGAAAAAAAAAAAGGAAAAAAGGAAAGAGAAAAGAGAAAAATAGGGAAAATTTGGTTGGACGAAGTGCGGATTGCAGGTTGGGGAAAAGCGACGACGCATCAAAGAGCGATTAATCTCCCCTCGCGAAAGGGAATCCTGACGAAAGAGGATCGTTATGTTTTTTTCGAGGCGAGACCATCGTTTCGAGTCGTGATCATTGAAAACTGACGAGAATCGAGATGATACGGGGTGGAGGATCGTTACGTTGTCGATATTGTTTCAAATGGGAAGGGAATTTTTTTCTCTTTTCTTTTTTTTTCTTTTTGATCCTTTTGGAAACGTTTCGTTTCTGTGAAATTTCGAGCGATTTCGCGGATGAGTTTGGTATATGGGCACCCATGATTCGTTGGATCTTTTGTTTCTTGATTCTTGATTTGAGAGGTGAGCTTTTTTTTTTTCTGAAAGCAATTAGAAACTCTTTCGTGGTTTTTGGAAAATTTTCACGATTTTCTGTTATTCTTGAAATATACAAAAGTAGATGGAGCGTAAACAACGATTATTCTCGTTTCCAGCGTTGTCCAAATTGTTAGAGGTGTAACGAGTCTAACGGATTATAATATTATGCATGTTGGCAGAGTCGTTATCGTAATAACGTCGAAACATGTTAGCGGGGAGGGAGGGATGCGATATGGAGACCAGTTGCTGGAGAGCAGGAAGCTGCAAATGTTCACGGATAATTAGGCAAAATCAGCGCCATCCTTAATGAAGCATATTTAATCTACACACTAATTAATGCACGTTTCCCATACGCTTAAATATTATTTAACAAGCGATAATAGTACGCCGCGGTAATGTTGTTTCGAATAATAACAACGAGCATAAGCGAAAGAATAGCGATTCAAAACGGTTGAAAGGAATTATGGCGATTATTTATTCGAACGAGTTGCTCGATATATATTCGATAAGCAATGATTCGATCATCGATGTTTCTAAAGTGAATTAATGATCGAGAAATTGCTGCGAGATACGAAGAATAATTAACACATCGAATCGCGAAATTTGCAAAAGCGAACGATAATCGATTATTACGTTGATTACTGTTATTACCATTGCAACAATTTTGATGCAATTGCGAATGGTACAATTGTGCGTGCAAGACGAGATATTGGTAATTTTGGCTACGAGTGTAAGAAAATGAATTATTGAATTTTAAGTAATTTTGTTGTTAAGAAGTAATTTTGTTAATTATCTTTCTTTTAAATATTCAATATTGCACAAATTATTCTCTACTATTTAATCGAATTAAACAAAGTTACGAATCTCGTAATTGAAATACGACAAGGATAATTATTATATTCTTAAACATTCTTTCCAATTTTCATGAAACATCTTTCAAACTTTTAAACTCTTTTACCATTTCTATTCCTTATAATTAACTTCTCAGTCCACTCAAAATTTACTCGATAATTTATTACGAAACCATAATAATATTTCTCCATAATAAATATCCTATTCCTTCTTCATCTTCTTCCACAATATAATCCAAAAAGAAACTCTATCCAACGCGTATTCCTTCATATATCTAACAATAAAACCATCTCACAAAATTTAATTCAAGAAGAACGAACAATAATTTCAACGATTTCTAAATAACATCATTCAGCTTCGATTGATCGAAAGAAGAAAAAGAAGAAGAGGAAGTAAAGACAAGTCGACAAGCTCCATCTCGCTCAACTCTCTCCGCGTTTTCCGCCTCCATTATCATGTTGTCACGGGACGATATTTACAGCATAACGTTTCCACGTCGTGTCCCGAACTTTTGCCGCGAGTCAGACACGCGATTAATCTCCGCCCGTTAAACAACCAGTCCGGGAGCCTTGGTTAATTTCACGAGAGCATGCTCGCGAGCATCCGACCCGAATGGATCTCGAGAGGTTGGAGAAGTTGCTCGCTTCTCAACACCGATGGAATCCCCGTGGCATATGGTGGTCGGATATGGGACGCGTCACGAGGTTACGAGGCTATCCTACGTCTTGCTCCATTATCGTAATCACGTAATGACGCGATATTATGGCCTGCATTATGGATATCGATCGTTTGTTCGCGGTAATTACAGGCCTGGGCAAATGTTAGATGCGATTATTATCGCTGGTTTGCGATGGACGCGTGGAGGGAGGGAGAGAGAGAGAGAGAGAGAAAAAGAGGGAGAGATGGGTATCGTCTCTTTTTCTTTTTGGAAATGGAATATTTATTTTCAAAAGCGTTGATTTTTCCATCACGCGCTGGAATTTGTATTCAAATTTACTCGAAACCGTTGGGAGATGGATATTTGTATATGTATAGCGATTATTGGCGTTTCGAAATTTGTGATGTTTGATATTTGTCACTGTAGAATTTTAATTCGAAATTCTTTGAATTTCGGTTTTTGAAGCCGTGATCGATTATTCGAATAAAAGGTGAAAAGAGTGTTCGCATTTTGGAAAATGCAACATTCATCTCCAGTAATTTCTTTTAATTAATTTACATAATTGACGTTTTACTGTATGATTCTTTTACTGTATGATATCGTAATAGTGTTTAGTTTCGATGATTGTTATTAATCAATATTCGTGTGAATATTCTCATATCGATGTATTTACTCATTATAGGATAGAATCTCATATCTCTAAGAATATATTCTTATATTTGTTTCTCAAACAATTCACTCGTTCAGGGTCGCGCGTTCTATTTCTCAAATCGGATCCGTCTGGATCTGCTGCTCCTCGACTTCAAATAGAATACTTGCAGATATCGTTAAAACCTCGTTACATTGCTGGTAGCGAACTCCACTTCGCGTATTTATAGATTGGCTAAGAATACTAGCATCGAATCCGATGCAAAACGTGGCCTCGCGTAAGGAAATGATACATGTCTGCTCTCGTGTAACTGAACATGAAATTACGTAACGTCGTTGAAGAAATCGTACGTTTCGATCGAATTTCGCTTGATTCGTCCCTGAAAAATATTCTTTAAATCTTTCAAACTTGAATTATTTCCAATTATTAAAATTTATACGTGTTCCAAATACTTTTCTAGAATTCTCTATCACATATTTATTAACGTATCTAAATA